ACAGGTATATATTACGGCGTGAAACACATGTTTTTAATTCATGTGTATCTTCTCTTATTTGTTCATCCGTGATTTCAAAAGCTCATTCTTGGTCTTTCTCAACAACTGATGATTCATTTTCTGTTATCATTAATTATGGGTCCACTTCTTTAGTTACTTTTTCTTTGCCGTCTCTAAAAAAAAGAGTGTGAAACAAACTAAAACAACAGATAATGAAATTTTTTAGAATTATAGTCAACAGTGAATATTTTTAGCTGTTTTGTTTTGAAACTTTTGGCAACATTTTCAAAAGTTTTTTTTAGTTTTCTGTGATGACTTTTGTAATTCTTACTGCCGTCGGTAATACTGATAATCATCAGAACAGTCTTGCAGCTTCGTGGCTAATCTGCCAATTGAGAATTGTTTCATTAATCATTTGCTTTCATATGCCTTTCCTCTCCAATTTTGGACTATATGATGCCAGTAATCCTTTCTTTCTCGCTTCTTCCACTGATGCTCTTCGCCAAGCATAAGTGTATTGGGTGGTACAGTGGGTTGTGTTTTGAAAGAAAAACAAAAGGAAGAATTTTTCTAACAACAACAGCAGTAGGCAAAGAATCCTTTTTCCTACAATTTTATTCTTCTTTCTACCTGAGCGACAATTTGTTTTTAGTTGTTGTCATCTATTCATTTTATTTTTTGTTCTTACTTTACTGCTTGAGAGGGGATTTGAATTCAATCTTCACTACAAAATGATTCGTTCTTTGGAATACTGTAGAATTTATTATTAGAAACAGTTAAATGAATGCTCTTTAGTACTAAACCTGTTGAATTTGCTCTATTTCTTGTTTAAATGCGGTTGAATACTTCATAGTAAATTAGAAAGTTTGGGCAGGAAATTTAATATTTTACTTGCCTAAAACATTATTTTCGTACTTTTTGGTAGTGTTTTTTAAACAGCTAAATTATTTCTCTAGCATACTGAGGCGGTACACGCTGCCCCACCGCTACAAAAGGTTCAAAAAAAGTTTACATTCATATTTAAGTAACAGAATTTATGTCAAGTTTTAGGAAGGACAGGTTGCCCCGTCACTTCTTGTCAGAGCAATTATTTCGTCAACCTCCTCGCTTCTTAACTGCTTCGCAACATGAAATTGTTGAGGCTCTTCCCTTAGGCCGAAGATGTCATCGTCTGCAAAACAGTCTTCAACTTTTCAAGCTACCCAAATATTTTTGTATATGAAAATGTGGCGAAGTTTATAGCGTTTTTGCTTGTAGCGCCTACAAAGACTTACAATCAATAATTGTTTTCTTTATCATTGTTGTTAACGTTAGTGGTAGAAACACGGCAGCGGCGGCATTATTATCACTTATTGGCAGTAGTTTCGGTAAGAGCACGGCTAGTTGAAAATGTGCTAATTTTTCTCAGCTAAACGTCGGCCCGGAGTGGGATGTGTGTTTTAGAGTTGTGTGGCAGAAGCAAAGGGGAAAAGAAATAAACTTGCGGTTTTTCCTCGTAAGCTTCGTCGAAGAAGGTGAATGAAAGAGAAAAGATGATGAGAGCATGTTGATGAGGTAGGCGCAGAACACTGTCGATAGTGTTGGGATGCTTTAGGAGGGCCGATCAAAGTAGCTGCTTTTGAGGCTTCGTATCGTTGCTTTTCCTCGGCACATCTTCATTGTTGCTTGCATCTCCTCGTTTAACGTACTGTTGGCCAGCTTGTTTTTCAGTGAAGCATTTATTGCAAATTAACTTCCGGTTGTTTATAGCTCCACACTTGTTTCCGGTTCACGTTAAGCAGCTGTCAGAATAAACTTGGTTTTTTTCAGTCAGTCATTCTCGGTTTCAATCATTTGCAACGTTTTCAGTCGGCGAAGTTTTCAGAGAAACTAATTTTTTGTTTCGAAAAGTATGCATATGTTTCGTGTACGCAGTTACTTTTTTGTTAAGTTGCTTGGGTCTGATCTTGTGTTTGTAAACTTATATGGCTTACATATTTAGTCGTATTTATCAATTGTGTTAACTTCTGTTTTATGTTACTTGAAGGTTTCAAAGTAGCTAAAGTCCTATTTTGTTTTCGTCGTTGAGCGCTTTTAGATAGGTACTCTGGTGAGAAGAGTAAGGAAATTAATCGTACTTTTGTTTAGTTGTAGTAGCAGAAGGTCACCAGTGAGTTTATCAAAATAGATATTGCTTGTGGGAATCGCATCAAGGCTGCCGTATTTTATGCAGCAGTCAATCTTTTTGACCAGTAACATTTATTGGCTAATGTAGTGTGCTTAGTGAGATTTTTTGCCTCTGTGGGGTTCTTGCAGAGTGTCTGTCAACATCTTTTGCGTATATTGCTAAAAGCCGAAGTCAAAAGGCTGGATATTTAGGGTTTAGAAAAGAACAGTAAATTGATATTTATGAATGTTTTGTAAAATGGTAAAATTTCAAAAAATATCGCTAATGACGACAGCAATAGCTGTGATTTTCCATGAATAATACAACGATATGTGCAGTGCTTTGATCGCTAGTGAACTTAACTGTCTTTTTTGCCTCACTTTTTAAACATTTCTAGTGTTTTCTTCTTGAGTCTGTTGGCGAACGAGGCATTGCAAGCGATAATTGTGTTTATCCATACATTCGTTCAACTGCTCATCTATTTACTCATCACCTATCTGTACATCCGTTCATCTTTTAATTCGTCAGTTCCTTTTATTCACTATGCTTTCATGCAATGTGTTTTGTTGTGCGCATTCGCCACCATCGACTCCATCAACTCCTGTTAAATTGGTAACATTATTCCCAAATTTTCACTTTACCATGACTTTTATTTTTGCAAACTTCAATTAAGTTTACTCGTCTAAGATGTATTGCTGTAAAAAGTCCGTCTTGTTTTTTTTTTGGATTAAGCTTTTTTTGTCTCTCAGTAATCTACTTGAAAAGTGTTAAAAGAGCCTTCTCCAAATCCGCCCTTTTTTCACTTTAATTTAGTTCTGATTATTACTTTTAATAAGGCTACTCCACACCAAGCCGATGGATGAAGTAAAAAAAGAAAGATTGAAAGGTTTATATATGGTCAGAGGTGATTCCGCCTCAAATCACATTCTTTTTTTCAGTCGATACGTTCAAATTCTTTCTGATTGTTACAGTTTGATCCCACATTCAAAAACCAAAAGGGAGTTACGGTTATGAAAAAGATCTTGTGGAAGAAAAAGTAAAAAATTTTTGAATTTTGAGGAGTGTAGTTTAGATGGGGATTTACATTTTGTTTCTTAATTCAGGAGTTAGTCGGTGTAGTCATCATATTTGAAAAAAACTTGTGAGGTAAAACTGGAAGAAGTGTACAATTTAGCGTGAAACGACCTGTTCCTACTTCATTTCTTGTACTGCCAAAGTAATTGCACTTTTTACTTTTACAAGTAAACAAATGACATTGTTGTTTATTTTTGAACGGACACTTTTTAAAATCTCGTTTTTTAGCAGTTTTTTGAGTCTGTCAATCCGTTAAGTGGCTTTGAGAGTAAAGAGAAGTTAGAAACCTACATGTGGGAGAAGTCATTGAAGATTGAGCCAAAAGACGCTGACAAGTGGGACGTTGTGGTAAGTTAATGTTTTTTTGCTTTTTTTTTT